AGGCATAGCTACATAGAAACTCCTTAGCAGAGCACTTATGATCTTTGTAATGAGTTCTACTGCCTAATAAACAGAGCTCAGGGTTAGGGGAAGGATCTATGATAAGCAAAAAGATAGACTGTAATGGTAAAGAATGCAAAGGACATGGGTCCCTTCCATAAGGATGGGTTCTATTCATTGAGAGTCAAAAGCTCAGGATTAGGTCCTACAGTGCTTAGGATATTAGGGAGATTCAGGTGGAGGCTGGTTAATAGAATAGCAAAGGATCACTAGGCTGTTTGACTATTTTCACTCTGACATTTTAAGTGACCAGGCATCATTGACAATCCTGATTTCTCCAATGTTGACTCCTATAGCAATGACTTTCAATATCTTTGGTCCAGCAAGACTTCCATGTTGATATTATGCTGACTCTTCTATTTTCTTCAAGACAGCCCGATGAACTTAAAAGAAATTTGTATGCAAACTGTTCATTTTGCCATTGTTGGCTTTAACTGAATTGGAGTAAGAAGTAATTCTGAGGATTGTGACCTGGAAACCAAAAGACAGAAAATGAAAGCTTCAAATGCTGTAACTGATGTAAAAAGACAACAGCAGTACTACAGAATAGAGAGGGAGACAAATCTCATAAAGAATAAAGGAAAAAAGCAATGGTTACCACCAATGTTCTGGAAACATAAGAAAATTCACATGTGCGGCAAATGATAGAGGGAGACAGTAGATAATAAGTTCAGAAGACTGGGAAAGAATAAGAGTTTAGCTAGATTGATTAAAGTTAAACACCTGAGCTTAAATTCTTAACTGGAGCAAGTAAGAAAAAGAGACAACAGCTTCCATCTAATTCATATTTAGAGGATTAAATAATGAAAGTGCATAACTTAGAACACAACATTCAAGAATCGGTAGCTGTTAAAATTAAGCATTCTGGACCAATATAGAATTGCTAACTTACCAGTTTGCAAATTTCAGCTGCATACCAAAGAAGAGCAGCTTCTCAGTCTAGAGATACTCAAAGAATTGACCCTCAAGGACATAGTGAACCTTTAACTAGACGTTAAAAATTAACCAAGAAGTTCAACAGTAAGGGTGATTTGACCACTAGGTGGCAATGATATCACTGCACTTCACACAAAAAAACTAAGTAAATCCAGAAAAAAAAAAAGAACAAAGAGACATCTATAGTATATATTTTCATTCTATAAAAAATGTTTTATATACAATTTAATTAATAATTGCTCTAATTCAATACCCATGTTTACTTCTAATGTTTTTCTTCCCTTAGCCACTGAGAGAATTAATTTTAAACACTTTTTATCATAAAGTAGTACTTGAAAAATCTAGACACACATACACACAACATAAATATAACAGAAATACAGGATAAAAATCTCTTTAAAAGTTTTAGAATTCCAAGACTTCCCAATGGAAAAATCAAAATTGTGACCAATTCTGTATTTTAATGTTTTGACCTCAGACATGCTATAATAAAAATACTTTTCTCTTAAATTATACTAATTGTAACATATAAAAACTATTTTCAGTATCTTAGATAAGCAGAATTAAGAAAATCTGTCAAAATTCTTAGGACAAACTACAGAATTCCTTTTTGTGTCAAAAAAGAAAATAACAACTGTTTTATCTAGCACTTCCCAGTTATTTGTGCTTTCTTCAAAAAACAGAATACAAACATATGAATTATCTAAAGTAAAAACTTTATTTCTTTCATATCAAATAAAATCAGCCAAGTATGACAAAAGCTTTTCAAGTTATAGATATTTCTAAAAACTCATTTAAAAAATTAACTTTCAAATTTCAGATGTTTCCCAAATATTAGTGGGAGTTATTACATGTAATAATTAAAAACATTTATGAAAAATTAAGTAAATAAATAATTCTATACTGTTATTCAACTCAAAATAGAAGTCCAGATTATTTTTCTTTGTATAAATAACCCATTGTTTTCCAAATTTTTAATACCCAGCTTCCTTCAAATGAACTGATACCTCCCAAAAATCAGCTTTCTGGTTTCTCTCATTTAAAATTACTTCGTACATATAATTCATTTCCAGAATTATCTTTTCCACCCACAAAAAATGTAAGAAAACAGAAATGATTCTATTTTTCATAATTCATAGATTTCCACCACTGTTATTGAATTTCTTTTTATATTATTATATATCATCCTAAAATCTAATTATTTAGTTCTTAGCCTATGTAAATACAGAAGCCAACCATTGAATGTGGTTAGCACAATAAAAGATTGCTATTGCAGTCCTCAAAATTTAAGCAAAAGAATTCAGGAAAGTGCTCAATCTGTTCACTGTATCTAACTTTTAAAGCTTGAAAATGTAGGGAATGCCACTCCTAGAGATCACTAATTCACAGAAGCAAATATATGAGTATGTATCATTTATATACACACAGAAGTAGTTCTGTTTTTACAAATAAGAGGATAAGACATATAATGAAACACATAATCCTTAAACCACTTTGGATATACTTTGGATATGTACTTCAAAGGATTATGTTTAACAATGTATAACATGAACAAACACCACATTGCAATGTGTCACAAATACAATTATCATAACAATAAAATTCAAATGCTGTTATTGACTTGGGTTTGTCATTTTCTGTTTATTTCTGATGGTGGCTCTAAGTTTACGTATTACCAGTCTGTCAGGTAGAATCATATCACCTTGCTGTTCTAGATAATCTAATAAATTCTCAGTCCATTGGAGAGCAGTTGTGTGATTTATATGTTTCTCTGGGATCAGTTCAATTCCTTCCTCATCATTTTCACTGGATTCATCTGTCTGACCTTGAGCTCTTCTGATGATTTCACTGTCAGTTAACACTTCATATCCTGGTTCAGTACTGTCAATCTCAAGCCACTTTTCCAAATTTTCAGGAGTCACATTTTCCAGTCCTTTGGTATGCTGTAAAATGGTAGCCACAGTAGCACCAGAAATATCTTCTTCATCAAAGTCCAACCCTTCTTTTTCCTCCATGGCAGGAAGAATCTGTTTCCAAGCTCTGCTAATAGTAACTGGCTTTACTAAGTTCCATGCCATTGCGATTTCATAAAGTGCATCCAAAAGAGTCAGCTTCTTCCAGAATGATTTCAGGTCATTACCTTCTTCCAAATTGTTATGGAGAAGACCAGCACGATAGTTTCTTTTCATGGTTGCTATGACTCCCTGACCCAAGGGCTGAATCAATGAAGCTACATTAGGTGGTAAATATTTAGCAAATATTTGACCATCATCTGACCTCAGGACATTTTCATTTGGATGTGTTGGGGAATTATCCAGCAAAAGCACTGCTTTTTCCTGCAAGCCTTTGGACCTCAAGTACTCTCGAACCTGAGGCACAAAAATCTTATCAAACCATTGTCGGAAAATGGAGAGATCCATCCATGCACCTTTCTGGCTGAAATAAGAGACAGGCAGGTTTAAGGTGTCAGTTGACTTGAAGGAACGAGGTTTCCTTGCTTTGCCCACAACACAAAGTTTAAGTTTGTGCAAGCCTGTTGCATTGGTGCAACACATAACAGTGATTCTTTCTTCACCTGAATTGTGCCCAGGGACAGTACATTTACCTTTAGTTACTGCAGTCCTGGAAGGTAGGCACTTCCAAAAGAGTCCAGTCTCATCTGCATTGTAGATCTGTTCTGGCTCAAGATTTTCCTGTTCGATAAAATCTCTCAAGTTGTTACAAAAATCTTCCACAGCAGTCTCATCTCCATTTAATCGTTCATTTCTAATGTTAATCTCTCTAATGCTGTGCCGCTGCTTAAAGCGTGTTAACCAACCAGCAGAAGGGTTAAAATCACCATCCATTCCCAAGGCATAGAAAAAGAACTCTGCCCGTTTGGCACAAATTGGTCCAGATATGGGATTCCCTTTAGCTCGCTGCTGATTGAACCATTCTAACATTGCTCTGTCTAGTTCCTCATACATGGATGGCTTCATAGACTTTCTCTTGGCCAGAAGACTTGTGGAATCTGAGCTGCTTGCATAAGTTATGATTTTTTCCTTATTCTTTCTTATATCCCTGACTGTTGTTTCACCAATTCCATAAATCACCGCCAATTGCTTGGAGGAGCCTCCATCTTCAAGTTTCTTTATTATGTCAAGTTTATCTTTAATAGTCAATACCACACGCTTCCGCTTCCCAGACATCTTGAGAATCTGGAACTCACTCTGTGGCAATCCTTAAAGAACACTCGACCTGTTTCAGCCTCTGCAGCCCTGGCGCTAGGCTAGCAAGGGCAAGGCAGAAGGTGACAAGAAATTTGCGGGGCAGGCTTTACCAGAAGTGAGGTGAGGAGGCCTCACATCCTCGCGGATAATCGGGACTACAGACTTGTGATTTAGTACTGCCGTGACCGCAGTCCTCACTCCAGCCCAGGCCCGGGGTACAGGCCCTTCACTGCCACACCCCAAAGTTAGCGCAGGGCGGAAGGAAGCCAGGCTCCCCTTCCTCAGGGAACAGGCCTACCAGCTCCTCCACTCGCAAACAGGACGTCGCCCCGGCCCGGCCTTCTCCGTCCTCCCGCCCCGTCCGCCCCACACCGCTCTCCCACCTCGGCGGCTCCCCAACATAGGCGACGCAGCGGCTCCTCCCTCAGAGCGCGCTCCCGGAAGCCGCACCCCAGATCCCGCGCCTCGATCCCTCCCCTGCCCCGCCTGGAGGCGGAACTTCCGGCTTTCCCCGGAAAGTGGGAGGGACGTGGTGCCTAAAGAACCTAGGCGGAGGCGGGGCGGGGAGGAGGCAGAGCGGGCGGGACGAGGGTGGAGGCAGGGGCGGGGCGGGGCGGAGGCAGGGCGGGGCGGAGG